TGGTGACTGCTGACTGACATGAGGGATGAGATTAAATAAATCCTGGAACTTAGCCTGGTCTGGAGCAGGCTAGCTCCACAGAATAAATCTCCATGGTAATTTATACCATAACATCCTGCCGCCATCTAATCCAGCTTTAGTGCAACCGGATCACGGATAAGTTGAGCCAGGATCACCAAGATATCCTGGCTTAATCCCTTATCCTAGTTTTGTGCAATAGGCCCCAGGTTAGGTTCACAGAGTAAGTTGCCATAGTAACTGACTCTGAGTTTAGATTACCTCTCTTTTTGAAACGGGTTTAACTTACCCCGCTTTCACGGGTTTAAGTTACCTCCCCGAAAACTCCGAGTTTTCCTCATTTCGGGGTTAACAAACTCAGAGTTTCAACAAAACCTCCTTCTTGAAACGGGCCCCTGGATGACCACAAGTGCCAATAATGAGTGGAGGACGGCCGCCCGTCCTGAGCTTTGACTCACAGGTTTTACTGCCTGACGGCTTCATAGTCCAGAGGACTGACAAGGCCGATGGCGCCGGTTGGTTCGGGGCACTCTGCCCTAAAGCCCCGACTGGTGGAGGGCTGCAGTGATGGTTGACTTTTTACAACTTTCTCCCATCTCCCGACTGCATCTCTGGAGCTCAGCCACAGTCATCTTTGGGTTCTTCTGTACCTCTCTCACCAAGGCTCTTCTCCCCCGATAGCTCAGTTTGGCCGGACGGCCAGCTCTAGGAAGGGTTCTGGTCGTCCCAAACGTCTTCCATTTAAGGATTATGAAGGCCACTGTGCTCTTAGGAACCGTAAGTGCAGCAGAAATTTTTTTGTAACCTTGGCCAGATCTGTGCCTTGCCACAATTCTGTCTCTGAGCTCTTCAGGCAGTTCCTTTGACAAATGTCTTGCCCAAGGACACTTCAACATGTGGACTGCAGGCACCATCCGGTTGGGAGGCGACCGCTCTGCCCACTGAACCACCATTTGTTCCTGCTGTTGTGTTCATTTGACCTTCATATGAACAAGATAAATGTACAGTGGCACAAACCTGCACATTTGTCAGTAAACACTTGAATAACCTGGTGGTTTATCATCGACTCACAACATAAGATAAAACTAAACATAAAATATGTTTTATTTTGTGGGAGCACACGATTAAAAGCTGCAATCCAATCAATAATGTAACATTCTGTGACATTTCAGATCACAGCTAAAATATTTCGACAGGTGCAGCCTGTTTGTGTTTACACTCTCAGGTTCATGTTTGAATATATTTCAACAGTAGGAGACTCATGATGCTGTTGTTATTTATTCCTCCTGCTCTGGGGGCTTTTGTTCTTTTAACCTGTGTTGGTTAATGTGTCATGTTAACTATACTGAGCTGACAGATGTGCTATGGACAAGCTGGAAAGCAATTTTAACATAATTAACACACCACTATAAAGTTACTGGTTTTATCGAGTTGCTTTATGTCTAAGTCACAAAAATGCCCACACTGACGCTCACTCATAAAACTGTGACAGTCCATCTTCTGCTGCACGTCATGGACTGTTTGTAAACAGTAAAACTGTCTTTTTAAAGAGGAAACACACACAAATGACCATAAACTGTTCAAAGGGTCAGAAGAAGCTGGTTAATAACAACTGACCAGTGGAGATCTCTGAAAGTCAGTTTTGTTAGTGGATATATCAAACACAGGTTAGCTGACTGACATAAATGTGTACACTAATAATGAAATATCATATAAGAACATTAAGGATAATATTAGTGAGAAAACATTTGTGTCTTTAAACTTCAGTGGCAGAATATTAGGGACAACTGGTCGTCCTAGAGTTGGAGAATCAAGCTGTAATAGTATGAGACCAGTTGTAATATTGTGAGAGAAGAGTATTTAAGATACTTGACAATTGTATATTAGCTCGTTATGAGCTCTTCTGAATATACATGCTGGTTTCGGGGATTCCAGGGAGTCGGGATCTCACAGAAACTCATGAGATCAAATAGGACTTCAGAGCAAAACAAACATGGAGCTAGTAGTGTGTGTGTGTGTGTGTGGGTGTGTGTGATCCTGTGTACTGAAAAGAAGAGGAGAAAACAGTGTTTGTGAAGTCAGCACTGAGAAGACGTCTCAAACTGCTGTGGTTGGTGATGCTTCCTGGTCGGCTCGTTCTCATTGGCTGTTGTGGGTTTCTGCTCAACATTTCATCTCTGTTGCTTTCACATGACAGAATTTAAAGTTGTACATATCAAACATGTTTGATGTTTATGATTTGAAATTGGGGAGACTGAGCCATTCGGGAGTGTAAGGATTGTGCCTGTAAACCCCTCATACTACAGGATCATTAGGGCAGGTGATGGTTCCAACCACCCTCCAGTCAGGAACACCCCCCACAGTATCGTTGGGAAGGGCGACTGGGACCCAAAATCTGCCCGAATATCTTCTAGTGTGAGGCCAGCATAGAACAACAAAGTGTGAAACTTGCTCTGAAGCTCCACCCAGGTGGGAGGTGCCTTAAACAGTTGAAGCACCAGCTGGAGTTTCCGCCACCGCCTCCTCTTGTGCGAGGTGTTTCCTGTAGGCTCTCTGGATCACTGTCGCCGCCACCTCTTCCTGTTTCCTCCGCAGGGTGCTGCTGATTGGCTCACAAGACACCTGCGGGTAACCGTAATCACCTGTTACTTCAGGCTGGATGCAACATATTGTTTCTGGTTCTGTACCGGAAACAAATTCCTTGTGTGTGTAACATACTTGGCCAAATAAAGGTGATATTGTGTTTTCCATAATAAAAACTAGAAATTACTTGTTAAATACAAATTCATTTTTTTTAACCTGAAATCGCAGCTGACAATGTTTTCTGGTGTTGCTGCTGCTCATTAACGTTGTTGTTGTAAACAAGAGGACAAGCATATTAACATTTGTGGACTGTAGTGTGAGAGAAAATAAACCTGAAACAGCAGAGAGCCAAAGCAGAAGCAGAGCTTCCAGGGCCTGTTCCAGAAGTAAGAACCTCGTTCACAATCGCACTTCTGACATTTGTGACAACACTAATAACTAACATGCAGCCTTGGAGCAGAGCCTTTCTCAGCACTATGTCATGTGGCTCACTTCATGTGTTTAGCTAAAGATGACGTGGATAAAACCACAAAAATATGGCGCCAGTGCCGCTCAGCCACGCTGGCAGTTTCTTTTCATAGAAGCTGTAGTTGTAGTCTTCATCTGCTGTAGTGGTGCAGATCTGTTTGGATATGAAGGTACATTTCAGGGACACACTTCATTTTTTCACAAAGACTAGTGAACACTGAGTGAGAGATGGTGTTTTCTCTTTCTCCATTTTAGAGAAACCTCCTGATCATTTATACTGCACAACACTGCGAGACTCAGAACACAGCCCAGTGTAAAAGACCCCCAACTGGATGTTTGGTGCTTTGCTAGCCGTGGATATTATTTCAGTGGGGAATGAAGAATCATTTGTTTAAACACCCAACTGCAGAACTGCCCAAGAATAAAAACTGATAAATATTAAACATAAAGGATAATCACCTTTATTGGCCAAGTATGTTACACACAAGGAATTTGTTTCCGGCACAGAACCGAGGCAGCCATCTGCGCCACCAACTCAACCGATGGCTCTAACCATCGGGGGCAATGGGGGGGTTCAGCGTCTTGCCCAAGGACAATTCGACATGTGGACTGCAGGCACCATGATTCGAACCTTCAACCTTTCGGTTGGGAGACGACTGCTCTACCCACCGCACTATCGCCTCCCCCAAATGTTAAATGCAAATGTTAAATTGAGCTGCATAAAATAAAATCTTTGCATACAAAAGAATGATGTGTAAGGCTACACCCTGGTGCCGAGTTTAAATAACAGGTAAATCTATGCAACAAAATCAAACAGAAGAACAGAACAGAACAGTGTCAAACCTTGGACGAGTTGTCGGCCATGAACTTCTCCTCCATTCTGGCTTTGAGAGTGTCCCTCTCTCCTGAATCACCAAACACCTGCACACACAGATAAAAAAAATGGTTAAAAATAAAGACTAAAAATAAAGACACAGCAAAAGCTTGTGACCAGGTGATGTTACCTGCAAGGTGAGTGCGAGCAGGATGTCCAAACAGTGAATCTTGTCTCCAGGAAGCAGAGGCAGATCCATGTGAATCAGTTTTATGGTGTTTGGCTTGGGAACCCTCAGAGGATCCTGCAGACTGTCACAGAAATCTGACAGCTGACTGTGGAGCATAGGAGGGTTCGTTAGAGTCCACTTTAGAGCCCATATTAGGATCCTTTAGAGTTTATAAGCACTGACAAAAGCATTGCGCAGAGTCTGCTCAACTTCAGAACAAGGGGGTTTCAAAGTCTGACAGAGTCCGTTAGTGTTTCTAAGAATCCATGAGAGTCTCTCAGCATCTGCCAGAGTTTTTTTAGAGTCCACTAGAGTTCAGTGAAATTTTGTCAGTCAGATGAAACAGATACACATTTTTCCACGTAGAGAATTGGACTATAAAAGATTTTAAAAAATTCTTTAAGGTGGACTCACCTGTACTCGATAAGCTGCGAGCCATTGGGGTCAAACTTCACCCAGGTTTTATAAAACATCTGCAGGTCGTCATCACTCAGCTGCTCAGTGTCGTCACTACTGAAGGTCTCTAGGATGACGGCGATGTATAGGAGGAGCGTGAGCAGGAGGGACAGGAGGATGTAGGAGGTGAAGAAGACGATGGCCACCGCTCTGTTACCACAGTTCCCGCTGATGGCTGATCCTGGGATCTGGATGTCTGGGTTGCACTTGGGAGGATTGTTCATGAAGGGAACAAGGAAACCGTCCCATCCAGCTGTAGTGGTGACCACAAACATACAGATCATGCTGTTCCCAAACGTCTCGAAGTTTAACATGTCGTCAATCATGCCACCCTTCATCACGTGGGCAAAGTTAATCATGCCGAAGATGGAAAAGGTGAACATGAGGAGGAAGAGCAGGAGGCAGATGTTGACGAGGGCAGGAAGTGACATCAGCAAGGCCAAAAGCAGCTTCTGGATCCTCTGGCCGCAGCGACACAGATGGAGGATTCGAAAGATACGAGCCAATCGAAGCATGGGAATGAGCGACATCACATGGTCATAAGGTAGGAATGAGCGACATCACATGGTCATAAGAAAGGTAAGGTAAGAAAACATCTAAAAAAAAAGAAAACAGAAAACTAATATCATGATTTTTCAAAAATGTCCCAGATGTCAGGAGAACAAGCAAAGGTTCAACACAAACAATTGGATCACTGAGCACAGCACGGGTTACACCTACCACACCAGCACCAGCTTCAAAAGCTCAAAGAAGTTGAAACACAAGTAAGAGAACATTTTATAATTTCCACATTACAATTAAAATATGACTTAAAAATAAGTGACAGTGTCATCCAGCGCACTGTGCTACAGTATATGGTAGTGAAGGGTGGGTTCGACTCACAGCTGTACCCGCCAGGCCAAACACCCAGCACCAGCTTTACATGCACAACTCTGCAGATACATTTTACAAGTACACAGAAAAACACCAACAAATGCATGTCGACCGGAAAAAGACACCCACTGATAGTTAACATTGAAAATTCAATTCAATTTTACTTGTACAGTGCCAAATCCCAACAAAAAAACACCTCAAGGCTCTTTTCATAGTACGGTCCTCACAGTATCATAGAGAACAACTCAACAAACCCCTTCAGAGCACTCACATATTTAACCACCAGACACCCCCGACTCCAAACCCCTCCAAAGAGTCCCCATGTCAGTTGGGGCTGAGACTCACTGCCCCCGTCAGACTCACTCCAACCAGTCTGTCACCGCTGCAACCAGAGTAAACCAAGATATAACCCAATGTAAAAAAACAAGGGAAAGAAGAAACTAAAAGCCACAGTAGACTAGAATGTTATCTGGCCCTAAACAGAGATTATGAACTGGCGGATTATCTCTCTACTGTCAGAGATACAGCGCAGAGACTGGTCCTGGTCATGACCAGGCTCAGTGACCACAAACAGGCAAGTGACAAAGGAAGACACAAAAATCACTGCAACCAAAAGAAAACAAAATGTGGCCACTGTTCGACAGGTGCGGTCAAGGTAGAGGTCAATGTCCTCCTACATCGTAAAAGCTTCTGTGAAGGAACATTTATTTTGAAAATTTCAACTCTGTGATTCCAGGTGTCCGCGAACGTAATGAGCCTTCAGAACTACAAATCCTGCCAGGAGAGGAAGACGTCCATGTCAACATGACACAGCAGCGAATTAGCTAGACGCACACAGCACACAAACGTACACAAACGCACACACATACACACATATAAAATACTTTACATACTGTATATACTTAATACATATCTATCTAACGGTCTTATCCTTTTGAACTGTACAAATATCTAAATAGTTATAAATTAAAACAAGTTTATGGCAACACTGTTCGGTGAATCGTTCATCCCCAGTTGAAGGGGGTGTCCAGGGAGAGAGGCCAGGCAAAGGTATTCGGCCTGTCTCGGTACAGAGTATGATAAGTTCAGACTCACAAAGCCCAAACCCGTCAAGTTTAACTGAGGACACAGTACATGGGAATATTGTTCTTAGGTGGATTGGCATTATGGGGACAGTGCACTGCCTTGGCAGAGGTTTCTGTCTGAGCATACAAGGAGCTCAGAGTCACAGAGGCAGCTCTGTGGTTCAAACTGCCCAATAAAAATACATATCGACCTTTAGTCTCAGTCCAACTGGCAGCAGCAAATATATTTCATCTCTGAGACCAAAGGTATCTTTCAAAAGGAACAGCGTCATATATCAGAAGTTCGAACGTCAGAGCCAGCAGTATATTACTGAGCCGCCAAGACTTTTCTCCCCAGGAAGACGACAGGTGTTGGCTGTTTGCTCCTGACATGACTGGTCGGTCCTCACACCTCTGAAATCATCGGAGCAAATTTCCAAACTCACATCGTTTAGATCAACTGACCACATGTTGTAAACCTAAATGTTTGCTTTCTGAAAAACAAATCAAATTCTACTAAGGTGACATAATGACAGCTAGGAAGAAAATGATAACAATCAGCTCCTAAAGTATCCTAATAAACAAGACAGAGTGAGACCTCCTCGTTTGCGCTGGACTCTACTGAGTGTGGATGCTGAATGTAAACCAGCTGTTTCACAGCTCCACAAAGAACAAGTACAGATGAAAATGCCGACTGAGCGAACTCTGCTATGTGAGGCAAAGGTGTCTACAAACAGAAAGTTAGTTCTCGTAGTGCGGCTTATGTTTGGACCATTCACCAGCACAGACTGTTTGCAATTAGTGCTACAGTTTGGGCCAAAACTTGCACTTCTTCCTGGAGTCCTAACTCAGTGACATGTGAACACAGACATGAAGTACATGTTGATCTGATTCGGTGTGACTCCACTTTCTGAGGATATTGTTACCTCTGCTGTCCCTCCAGAACTAACCTCCATAAAACCCATGTAGAAACCAGAGGAGCAGAGGGTGTGGAACCTGCCCCATGTAGAAACCAGAGGAGCAGAGGCTGTGGAACCTGCCTGAGAATCCTCCTGGTTCTAAGTTTCCTTCAGTGTCACAGTGATCCAGTGACCGCAGTCTGTACGTCCATGGGGACACTGCACACAGCAGCTGCTCGCTGCTCGTTCTGTATAGCTTTACTGGTGACACTGACTACATGTGAACAAATGTAGGTTAACAAATCAGGGCTAAGAGAACATTTCATCTCCTGTTTAGACCCCAAATAGTTAAGAGAAACTTTCCAATCACACTCCGAGTTATAAAACTGAGGAAAGGATTATCAACCAAAAAGAGGTGACAAAGAATCATAATCACTGTGATAAAATACACTGTTAAAAACTTTCTTCACTATCAAGTTGAAGAATCAGTGGCTTGCTCAGGGCACAGTGTCAGAACTGTGAAACTGACTGACTCACCTAGGATGGACATGACAAGCACCACAAAGTCAACGATGTTCCAACTGATGGTGAAGTAGTGTCGTCTAAGTGCGATGATCTTCAAAAGAAACTCAATGAAAAAAATAATGATGAAGATGAAGAGGAGCCAGTATATGATCATGTCTTTCTCCAAGCTCTGGTGGTATGTCTCAGTCATCAGAACCACCACGTTCAGGCAGATCACCACCACCATGAAGACTTCAAAAAACAGGTGGGTCACCAGGTCAAAGAGCCGAGCCAGGCACTCGCTCTGGGGAGACAGGGGGACAAACAGGAGGTTCCAGCTGCATGAAGAATAATAGACCCTGACATTCAGGTCCCTTATTTATTTAAGGTAGCTGAGAATTTGATTGCAGAGCCTGTCACTTTCATCTTAAATCAGCAAGAGTCTGTAAATCTTGATAAGTCAAATTGTCTGTCTTGGTTAAAGTACTTCAATCACTAATTAACTTACTTACCTGCCTACTTTTGACAGAGAATAATATCCAGATGGCATTGTATGCAGATGATGAAGCTATGTATACAGTCACTCTTGGTCAGGATCAGACTATTACTGAGGAGCTTCACTGGGGATCAGAATCAGGTTTATTACCACTTAGGATAATGATAATCACTTTATTTGGCCAAGTATGTTACACACAAGGAATTTGTTTCCAGTATACAGCCAATGCAGCCATCTGCGGCGCCAACTCACAACAATGGCTCTAACCACAGTTGAAAAAAGAGAAACAGGAAGCACCACAAAAGAAAAATAATAAATATAAATATCAGGAATAAACTGGAATATCCAGCTCCTGATTTTGGCGGCACAGCGGGTAACTGGGACAATTCAGATGCTGGACCCTCGTGCTCATGTAAACGCCCTCACTCTGACCTCCTGCAGCTCCTCCCAGGTTCAGACTGCAGCATTTCACAGGTTAACACAGCTGATCAGCTTATTTGACTCCTGGGACTAGAAGTGGAGCCACCAATGAGGTACTGAGAGTTTTCAAACAGTTGGGCCTGAATTCCGCTGAGACTCTTGATCCACTGAAGCCCTGCTGTACCAGCTTCATACCTGTCTGAACAGGAAGTCAGGGCACCCACCTGAGGTCGTGGAAGAGGTTTCACAGGTGCCTCGGTCAGCCGTTTCTTCATGGTCTGGGAACACTGCTGCTGCTCCGCTGTCATGAAAACATGTTTCCCTCCAAAGTAAAAATGAGAGCGAAGACCACAGTTAACTGACTGAGAGAATCACCAGAATATCCAACAGCAACACTGAATGTGGATCAGTTACTTTAAACTGGTGTCACACCTAAACCTGAACTTTACAACTGTTGGCATAGTAACCAAACAACTGCCTGTATCGCCATGTATCTGGTGTCACAGCCTGTCTGTCTCTTAGCCTGTATAGACACTTATCTTGTATCTGTGCAGGTTCAGTGTGTCGATGAAGACTCTGATGAAGAGGTTGATGGTGAAGAAGCAGCCAAAGATGATGAAAAAGATGAAGTAGAGGTACATGTACAGGTTGTCCTCAAAAAACGGCTGCTCTTCCACCTACACACACACACACACCAGTATCAATGTCAGTACCAGGACCAGCTCCAGTATTAATACCAGTACAAATATTAGTACCAGGGTCAGTGCAAAAACAACACCAGTATCACTCTTAGTACTAGTATCAGTATAAGCATGATCTATGTTGTATATTTACACTGTTCATGTTTCTAATGTAAAAGCACTTTGAGCTTTAATAATAATAATACCAGTATTAGTACTAGTATTAGTATTAGTCGGTGTACTTGCCCTTCTGGAGTCCACAGCAGAGTACATGATGTCTATCCAGCCTTTAAGCGTCGCCTAACAGAGAAACAACACAGAACTTCATAAGAAAAACATTGAATTTAAGCTGGTTTTTAACATAAGCTCAGGCCACAGCTCATCTCTCAGGTTTAATTAAATTTTAAACCTCCGTTATGGAGGTTTACTTTTTAGTGAGAATAGATCTGAACCTTGATTCAGTCAGTGATTTATTTACTTCATTTGAACTGCACATGTTCAAGAAGTGCTTTTATGAAAACACAACAAACAGTGTTTAAAATCACTAGTGTTTATGGCACAATTTCTGAAAGCATTTTTACTTTACTTTTAGTGCTTTAAACCTTTACACAGTACTGTCTGATGTCTGACGCATCGCCTCCATCACTGTGGTGTCAGAGATCAGCTCAACATATTTCTAATGACAGTGAAGCAGAGGTGGTTGTGTTGATCACATGGATTGACGGAAGCCATCTGTGCCAATGTAGAGTTATTCTGTCTGTGGTCTGTCTGATAAAGTGTCTGTCTGTCTGTCTGGGGTTAAACTGTAGTGTCCTGTGTTCAGACTCACCACTTGCAGCAGCGACAGGTAACCCTGTGCCACGCTGTCAAAGTTCACCTCCTTGTTCTTCCAGAGGACCTCTGTGGGGTTTTTGCTTGACAAAGCCAAACAGTCTGATATGTTGTTCACTTCCTCAGGGTAAAATGTCTTCTGTGTTGTCTCATTTAAACAGTGGTAAAACTTTCCTCCAAACAAATTCACTCCCCAAATGCTGAAAATCAGCCAGACGACCGCAGTCACCAGCAGCACATTGCACATGGATGGGAGGATCACTGCCATGGCCCTCATCACCACCTGCAGGCAGATAGGTGGAGACTGAGACAGGCACAGCTGCACATAGGTAGGAAGGTTACGGGCAGGGCCCTCAGCAGCTCCCGTCTGTGGTTAAAGTGTCTGTCTCACCCTCAGGCCCTGGAAGCGAGACAGGATTCTCAGGGGCCTCAGAGCTCTCACAGTCCTCAGAGCCAGGCCTGCTACCAGTCCAGAATATCCCAAAGTTTCAGCCATCAGAGACATCAGAGACACCTGGAAAGCAAAGCACACCTGGTGATGACATCATACTGCAGGTGAGTGATCGACACTGACCAAAGGATCAAAGAGGCCATCTCTGGGTCAACTTTACCTTAACTGAACCTAGTTAGTCATTAACTTAATGCAGTTAACTTTCCCAGGTTTACTTTACTTAGTAACCATTGCCTTCACCCAGTTAACATGACCTTCACCTGGACCTCGTGGGTCAGGACCCACCACAAACACTGTGTTGTCAGTGGTATTTTAATATTACTGTTGTGAAAACAGTGACTGGGTCCAAACAACACAGCAGTACTGAGTATGGCTAACCCAGCACCCAGTGCCATACTGACAAAACCAGGTCTCTATAGCATCAGTCCTGCTGCCATGGTTACCTTTCAAACACCCCATCACAGAGCAGAGTTCTCTGTGGTTCTAATACATGTAAGCTGCCTCCTGTTACACTAGCTACTTTTACACTGCCCATTCAATGCGGGAGCTTTTCACCAGTTCTTTTCGCTGTTTTGTGCAAAAGGTCAATGCTGACCCTCCAAAATGCCTCAACGAAAAGTAGTATTTTTGCTGAGATGAGTTTGCCCCATGAAACAAGGCAGAATTGGGGGTGGAGGTCTGCATGAGAGAGAGAGAGAGTGAATGGGGGTGAATGAGGAGAGAGAGCAGCTGAATCAGAGAAATAAAACCTTGGTTTGTGATTGTTTCCCTGTGGTTATGTTCTAAACCAGAATGAACACAGCCATACCTCTGTTTATTTTCAACACAAGAATGACCCCAGCCATACCTCTGCACAGAGCCCTGCGGGAAGGATTCTGTGTGAATGCAGCCAAAATGCATTCTTCTGTCTGTTCTGCTGTGCACTTCATGTGTGTGTCGCCCCGGCCCTGAGAATGCAGCCAAAATGCATGCTTCTGTCTGTTCTGTTGTGCACTTCATGTGTGTGTCGCCCTGCCCTCAGACACACTAACCTGAAACTGGATCCACATAGTAGGCTACTGTAATTCCAGATTTCCATTTAGAAATATATCAAACAAAACCAGATAACAACTCATTTGTTTCACTTTCAAATTGGCCGCAAAGTACAGAGACTGTCGGACACGACGAGAGGCATCACGCCTCTAACACTGGGATTCCTGTGTAAAAGGGACACAGGAGCAGCTGTTTGCCGTTTTTTTTTTTTTTGTTAAGTTTATTGGAAACAGACTTAAATCAACAAAGTGGCCGGCGGTTTGTTGTGATCTCTGTGTAAAAGGGCTCACTGATTAATACATTACCAATAATCTGTGTCACTGATCGTGTTCTTACAGCCAGGATGAGGAAGTCGAGCCTGCACCAGGGGCAGCTGTAGTATTTCTTGAACCCGGAGCCGATCCACTTGAGGACCATCTCCAGCAGGAACAGGAAGTTGAACAGCAGGTCTGCTATGTCCAGACCCCTCCGTACGGCGTGGCCCTGCCTCAGGTGGATGTCCTCGAACACCTGTTGACATACACACTCATGTTACCACCTGGACAGGTGAGTTTTCACACTGACTGGGTGTTTCCTGACACTGAGGGACCAAGTGGTTATTCTGTTCTATTCCAGCAGAAGAAGCAGTAACCTTGCACCTGAAAT